GCAGTGAAGTGGGAGAGAGGAGAGCCAAGAGGAGCAGGGCAGGATGCAAGGGATGGCATGGGGCTCACCATGGGCAAAGAGAAGCCATGGGGTCTGCAGCCCCTGCAGCAGGGTGGTGGCTCAGAAGACAATGGTGCTGGTGCCTCTGAGCCACTGGGAATGTGGCACTGTGCGCGTGAACATGGTGCTGTGTGTACCTGTGCTAGGGGAGGTTATGGTGCGGTTGGGGAAGGGGCTGTGTGGTTGTGTGGGATAGGGGTGGTATGCAAAGGGCTGTGGCTGGTTGGGTGGTACATGTATGGCTGTGTGTTATGTGGTGGGCTATGGTGGGTGTGATGCTGTCCTGCGTTTGGACAAGGACTGTGGTAGGATGTGGTGTGTAGGGCTGGGTTTGGGGAGCTGTGATGTGTGGGGCTGTGGTAGGTATGGCCATAGTGGTATGGATCACAGAATCAACTAGGTCGGAAAAGATCTTTTAGATCATCAAGTCCAACCATTACCCAGGCACTGCCAAATCCACCACTAAACCACACCACTAACAGCCTCATCAAAATGGTCTTTGAACACTTCCAGGACGGTGATTCCACCACTGCCCTGGGCAGCCTGTTCCAATGCCTGAGCACCCTCCTCGTGAATAGATGTTTCCTAATGTCCAATTTAAACATCCCCTGGCACAGCCTGAGGCCACGCATACATAAAAGGGATGTATGTGCATGCATGGAGCTGTGGTGTGTGGCCGTGATCTGTGTAGCCCTGGTCTGTGGTGTGTGTAGCTCTGGTGTGTGGGGCTGTAGTTTGTTTAACAGTGGTGTGTGTGGCCATGGTCTATCGTGCATAAGGCCATGGTATGTGTAGCTGCGGGACTGTGGTATGTACGACCGTGGTGTGTGTGGCTGTGGTCTGTGGTGTGTGTAACTGTGGTGTGTGTAACTGGTGTATGTAACTGTGGTGTGTGTAACTGGTGTACATAACTGTGGTGTGTGTAGCTGCAGTGTGTGTAGCCATGGTCTCTGGCGTGTAGCCATGGTCTGTGCTGTGTGTAACTGTGGTGTGTGTAACCATGGTCTCTGGTGTGTGGCCATGCTCTATGATGTGTATCACTGTGGTGTGTGTGGCCATGGTCCATGGTGTGCCCATGGTCTGTGATGTGTGTCACTGCAGTGTGTGCGGCCATGGTCCATGGTGTGTGCCCATGGTCCACTGTGTGTGTCACTGCAGTGTGTGTGCCCATGGTCCATGGTGTGTGTCCATGGTCCACGGTGTGTCAGTGCACTGTGTGTGCCAATGGTCCACGGTGTGTGTCACTGCATTGTGTACGGCCATGGTCCATGGTGTGTGTCCATGGTCTGTGATGTCTGTCACTGCAGTGTGTGTGCCCATGGTCCATGGTGTGCGCCCATGGTCCACTGTGTGTGTCACTGCAGTGTGTGTGCCCATGGTCCATGGTGTGTGCCCATGGTCCACGATGTGTGTCACTGCAGTGTGTGTGCCATGGTCCACGGTGTGTGTCACTGCTGTGTGTGTGTGCCATGGTCCATGATGTGTGTCACTGCTGTGTGTGTGCCATGGTCCACGGTGTGTGTCACTGCTGTGTGTGTGCCCATGGTCCATGGTGTGTGTCACTGCTGTGTGTGTGCCATGGTCCACGGTGTGTGTCACTGCAGTGTGTGTGCCATGGTCCATGGTGTGTGTCACTGCTGTGTGTGTGCCATGGTCCACGGTGTGTCACTGCAGTGTGTGTGCCATGGTCCTGTCACTGCAGTGTGTGTGCCATGGTCCATGGTGTGTGTCACTGCAGTGCTTGTGCCATGGTCCATGGTGTGTGTCACTGCAGTGTGTGTGCCATGGTCCACGGTGTGTGTCAGTGCAGTGCGTGTGCCCATGGTCCATGGTGTGTGTCACTGCTGTGTGTGTGCCATGGTCCACGGTGTGTGTCACTGCAGTGTGTGTGCCCATGGTCCACGATGTGTGTCACTGCAGTGCTTGTGCATGGTCCATGGTCTGTGTCACTGCAGTGCTTGTGCCATGGTCCATGGTGTGTGTCACTGCTGTGTGTGTGCCATGGTCCATGGTGTGTGTCACTGCAGTGTGTGTGCCATGGTCCATGGTGTGTGTCACTGCAGTGTGTGTGCCATGGTCCACGGTGTGTGTCACTGCAGTGTGTGTGCCATGGTCCATGGTGTGTGTCACTGCAGTGTGTGTGCCATGGTCCATGGTGTGTCACTGCAGTGTGTGTGCCATGGTCCATGGTGTGTGTCACTGCAGTGTGTGTGCCATGGTCCATGGTGTGTGTCACTGCAGTGTGTGTGCCATGGTCCATGGTGTGTGTCACTGCAGTGTGTGTGCCATGGTCCATGGTGTGTCACTGCTGTGTGTGTGCCCATGGTCCACGATGTGTGTCACTGCAGTGTGTGTGCCCATGGTCCATGATGTGTGTCACTGCTGTGTGTGTGCCATGGTCCATGGTGTGTCACTGCAGTGTGTGTGCCATGGTCCATGGTGTGTCACTGCAGTGTGTGTGCCATGGTCCATGGTGTGTGTCACTGCAGTGTGTGTGCCATGGTCCATGGTGTGTGTCACTGCAGTGTGTGTGCCATGGTCCATGGTGTGTGTCACTGCTGTGTGTGTGCCATGGTCCATGGTGTGTGTCACTGCAGTGCTTGTGCATGGTCCATGGTGTGTGTCACTGCAGTGTGTGTGCCATGGTCCATGGTGTGTCACTGCAGTGTGTGTGCCATGGTCCACGGTGTGTCACTGCTGTGTGTGTGCCATGGTCCACGATGTGTGTCACTGCAGTGTGTGTGCCATGGTCCACGGTGTGTGTCACTGCAGTGTGTGTGCCATGGTCCATGGTGTGTGTCACTGCAGTGCTTGTGCATGGTCCATGGTCTGTGTCACTGCAGTGTGTGTGCCATGGTCCATGGTGTGTCACTGCTGTGTGTGTGCCATGGTCCATGGTGTGTCACTGCTGTTTGTGTGCCATGGTCCATGGTGTGTGTCACTGCAGTGTGTGTGCCATGGTCCATGGTGTGTGTCACTGCTGTGTGTGTGCCATGGTCCACGATGTGTGTCACTGCAGTGTGTGTGCCATGGTCCATGGTGTGTCACTGCAGTGTGTGTGCCATGGTCCACGGTGTGTGTCACTGCAGTGTGTGTGCCATGGTCCACGGTGTGTGTCACTGCTGTTTGTGTGCCACGGTCCATGGTGTGTCACTGCAGTGTGTGTGCCATGGTCCACGGTGTGTGTCACTGCAGTGTGTGTGCCATGGTCCATGGTGTGTGTCACTGCAGTGTGTGTGCCATGGTCCACGGTGTGTGTCACTGCAGTGTGTGTGCCATGGTCCATGGTGTGTGTCACTGCAGTGTGTGTGCCATGGTCCATGGTGTGTGTCACTGCAGTGTGTGTGCCATGGTCCATGGTGTGTCACTGCAGTGTGTGTGCCCATGGTCCATGATGTGTGTCACTGCAGTGTGTGTGCCATGGTCCATGGTGTGTGTCACTGCTGTGTGTGTGCCATGGTCCATGGTGTGTGTCACTGCAGTGTGTGTGCCATGGTCCATGATGTGTGTCACTGCAGTGTGTGTGCCCATGGTCCATGGTGTGTCACTGCAGTGTGTGTGCCATGGTCCATGGTGTGTGTCACTGCAGTGTGTGTGCCATGGTCCATGATGGGTGTCACTGCAGTGTGTGTGCCATGGTCCATGGTGTGTCACTGCTGTGTGTGTGGCCGTGCTCTGCGCTGCCTTCGGTCGATCCCCGCACGGTGCCGCGGTGCCTCTTCCCGCGGGCGCTCCCTGAGGTGCATCCCCGCCCCGTCCCCGCCGCTCCCGCACCCGTCCCGTTGCTCCGCTCCGCTCCGTCCCTGCGGAGCCGCCACGATCCCGCCCCGCCGCCGCCCGGCCCCGCTCCTCGGCCGGGGCGTGGCCAAGCAGGGGGGAGGCGGGAAAGCGCCGCGCCGGGGCCGCTCCGCGGCTTCTCCCAGGCAGGGCGGCGCCGACGGGGTTAACGCGGTCCCCGCGGCGGCCGGGGCAGCTCCCGCCTCCCGCACCGGAGCGCACACGCACACACACACACACACACACACACACACACGCACACACACACACAGACACGGGCAGGCGATGACCGAGGGGCGCGGGCTCGGTTCTCCCCGAGATGATGTCAAGAGCTCGGGAGGAGGAGGAGGAGGAGGACGGCCGCTCTTTTTCTTAACGGCTTTGTTCTAAAACCATCCGAAATAAAGCAGCCCCAGCCCCGCGCGCCGGGGGAGCAGCCGCGAAAGTACCTTTTTTTTTGCCTTCTTTTGGTTTTTTCTTTCCTTTTTCCCCCTATTTTTTCCTCCTCATCCCTGCCTTTGTGTCCGCCTGGGGCCGAGCCCCTTCCTCGCTCTCTCCCCGGGGAAGCCGCCGGCTTTTTTTCTCCTTTCCTTCCCCGCAGCCCGAAGCCGGAGGCAGCGCCCGCTCCACCGCTGCCCCGGGCAGGTGCCTCGGCGGCCGCCGGCTCCTCGCTGCCCTCTCGCATCCCCATCACCCGCCCGCCGGCCGGGGCGGCTCCGCGCCGCTCCTCCCGCGGGGCGCTGGCTCCCCGCCGCCAGGGCCACGCCGGCGGCCCGGCTCTCCCGCCTCCCGCCGGAGCGGCGGCGCGGCCGATCGCGCCCGGGGATGCTGTCCCCAACTCCCCGCCCGCCGCCTGACACCGCCGCCGCCGCCCTCACCGCACCGGACACCGCTCCGCTGCCCGCACCGCGGCCACCTGCAGCAGCCCGGCTCCCCGCCGCACGCCTCGCCCCGCGGCGGAAGGAATAAAGCGCTCAGCCCGTCCCGACCCGCCCGGCCGGCGCTCCCCCGAGGCAGCCGGGACCGGGGCGGGTCGGGGCCCCTGCGGGCCACCCCCGACGGACGGAGCCCGGGCTCCCACCGCCCCTCATCCCTCTGCGCGGCCCCCCGCGGATGGGCGGGCTGCCGCCGCCCGGCCCCCCCCGGCCCCTCTGCGCCGCCTGAAGAAACTTGGGACGGCGGCGGCCTCCGCGTCCCCGCCGCGCCCCGCCCGGGCTGCGGGGGACCCTTCCCGCGTCGACGCGCCAACTTCGCGGGGGGACCCGCCGGCCGCAGGACTCCGGCTCGGGGCTGCCGGTCCTTCCCCGGCGGGGCGCAGCCCAGCGCCTCCTCCCCGCGGCGGGGACCCCCTGCCCCTGGCCGCGGTGCTGGGGAGGAGCGGGGGTGCCCTGGATGGCCCTGCGCGCTGGGACGGCTTGGTTTGGGCAGGTCCTGCGCAGAGTTTCCCGGCTCCAGGGCACTTGGTCCCGGCGCTCCAGCAGCCTCCTGTGCCTCTCCTCCTCCCAGGAACCCGAGCAGGCGGGCGGAGAGCGGCCGCCGCAGCAGCACAAGCTGCCCCGGAGCAGCGGCAGCGGCGGGCGCCGGCAGCCCCGCCGGCAGCTGCCCCGCTGCTGCGGCTGCTGCGGCCTGTCGGATCCCCGGGCGGCCAGGGGGGGACATGGTCCCCTCACTCGCCCCTTGCTGGCGGCCATGAAGAGGCAGAACGTGCGGACCCTGTCCCTCATCATCTGCACGTTCACCTACCTGCTGGTCGGGGCTGCCGTCTTTGATGCCCTGGAGTCCGACAACGAGATGCGGGAGGAGGAGAAACTCAAAGCCGAGGAGATCCGGCTCAAAGGAAAGTACAACATCACCAGCGAGGACTACCGGCAGCTGGAGTTGGTGATCATGCAGTCCGAACCACATCGGGCCGGTGTACAGTGGAAATTCGCTGGCTCTTTCTACTTTGCCATCACGGTCATCACCACCATCGGTGAGTGTCTGCCCTCCGGGAGGTTCTCTGGGGCAAGGGTGAGGGCTGGGGTGAAAACCCCCCTGGTTGGGAGAAAGGGCAGGGGGCAGCAGGGCATGGGAAGAGTTCTGTGCTTGGATGAGTTTTTTTGGCTTCCCTCCTGTGTTATGTAATTCATTGCTCTTCATGGGCACTTGTTGGATTTGGCAGTGTCCTCCACCTCTAACTCTTAGAGACAGAGCCTGTGGCCCCCCATAGAGTGGTAATAGAGAGGAGTGAGGCAGGCCTGGCTGGGGGCATTGGCGCTGGCCAGTTGGCTACCATCGAAATGTGGCTTGGGTGTCAAGGAGGAGGGGGGAAAAGGCAGGGTGACACTCCTGGTGTTCCCTTTAGGAAGACGGAGGCCCTGTTGCCATGCTTCTCCTTGCACCTTTGCTTAAAGAGATATAGGGAAAACTCAGACAAATGGCATTTGGATGACAATGGAAATGATGAGAGCATGGGTTCTGGATCAGCTGGGAAAGCCCTGTGTGTAGCCACACATAGCCCTGCTTTCATAACTTAGTTTTGGTCTTGGGCAGGGCTATGGAGGGGATTCCCGCAGATGTGGTCCCATCGCTGGGCCTCTCCTGGGCATTCCCAGAGTGTTCCTGAAGTTTTTACTGCAGCTGGAGAGTTGGCTGTGCCAACAGGTCACAGTCTGCGTCTGCTCTTTGTGAGCACATGGTCTGACAGGTAGAATGATGTCTGCTGTCACATTCGTGCTGCCCAGCTTCCCAGACATGCCATTTCCCAGGACAGTCAGGGTACAGTCAGTGGACACAGCCACAGGCTGTCATTTTGTACTGCTCTGCTTCCCACAGTTACAGCAGAGCATTTCACACAAAGTTTGCTTCCCTGCCATACAATAAATACCAGGATAACGAGAGGCTGTGGTGTGCACGCAGAACTGTGCCACGACTCCAGCTCTGGCTTGGTTTCTTCCTCAGTGTTTTTGTATCCATCAAGGATGGAAGCATTTGGTAATGTTCTTCTCCCAGCGCTTCTCAGTGTTCACCCCCTTGCATCTGGGGAGATCTGGAAAGACCTCTCCAACTCAGCGGCTGTTTGATAGTGCATTGTATGGAGCAGGACAAGAAACACCAGCTCTCTTATTAGTACAGGACTCAATTGTTTTACCATTTTGGGTTTGTTACAAGAAATTTGAGCATTGCCACCTGAAGACAGATAGCTTTCAGCAGAACATGATATGGAATACCCTTTGAGCAGGGTCTACTTACATGTGTACTTGATTATATTATACCTGGATGGTAAAAAATATTCTTTGAAGGACAATCCGATAGTATAAAGCCTATTTGCCCATACAAAAAGAAGATTTTAAAGGGAAAATTTCCTCTTATTTTCTGTTATTAGATATATTATATAAAATACACGTACTAACAGGCTGTAGAATTGGAGTAGAATGTGACTTTGGCTGCTGACTTAGATTACCTACTGTTCATTACGATGTCAGAACTGCCCTTCCTCCTTTAGTCACTGATTATCTCTTCCTCCATCAGTCTCTTGTCATGTATTTGTGCTGAGTGTGTACCATCCAGTCATGCCCCTCTGGATTTACGAGGCTTCCACGCACACGCCTATGTACTCACGGTGCCTGCTACTCCCACCCAAGAGGTGGCTTCCACACTTTCTATGTTCTTAAGCTCAGTTGGTGACAGGTAGAAAGGGTAGTTTGCTGTTTTGGTTATATTTTACTTGGAAACAAACCCAAATTGCTTGGGAAGCTGAAGCATTTTCTCCTGCAAAGAGCTGGTATTTGTTTAGGAAGCTCGGAGCACCTCAGCGTGCAGAGCATGGCATGTGTTTCTGTAGGCGGAGGCGCTTTGGGATGTTAGAATTGTTTAAATTTAAGATGTGTATAGCAACAGGGAACCACTGGGAGGAAGAGTGGTAATAAAGAATGGTGCGGAAAAACAGACGTTCCTTAACAACTGTTCATTTGGGAAACTCTGCTCCGGGAGGATCCATCTTTTGAAAGTTTATTAATAGTTACTATTTGCGTCTTCTATTCTGTGTATCATCTCTTCAGTACTAAAGGAGCTTTGTGATGGTGTCTCATTGACTGGTAATCTGTAAAAGTGAGCATGGAAGGTTGTTCTTTAATTTCTACTTTATCCTAAAATAATCTGGTTCATAGAGGGGAAGAAATTACTTCCTGTATTTAAGTTCTCTGGAAAATAAGAAATTTCTTTTCTGTGATTCATAGGGCAGTGATCTTAAATGTTCATGTTAATCTTTTGTGAGTCTGAATTTTAATCTGTGTGTATGCTCTCACACAGATTTCCTTCTCCGTCTGCATCCTTCCATACTTGGAGGAGCACATGCAGTGTTGTGTGCACTTGTGAGCATGCTGTAGTCAACCAGTGCTCCTGCAAAAGTGCATCTAACTAAGCATTGCAGGCTGATTTTTAAAACAGAGTGAATGAAACCCTTCGTTGCCTAATTTAGAGTGGTACACCTATCTCCACAAAGCTTCTCCTCAGAGAAGTGTGGTAAGAATCAGTGGAACACAAGGTCTAGCAATGCGCGTATGACAGCAGACTAATTTATGTCTAACTTAATTGTTCTCCTTGATACTGCTGTGCTAGCAACATGTCTGAAGCGATTACCCCTTCATCGGATCGATTCAGACCGCTGTGGCTTTCATTGCACCGAAGGCGATTGTGGCTGGCCGTGGCCACGGGTACCTGTTCGAGTCCGGGTGTTCGCGGCTAGGGTGGCCCGTGGTGCTGAAGGGACAGCTCCCGCTCTCGGCTCGGGCCGCGCCTGCTCTTGCACGCCCCGCGGCCGAACGGGGCTTGTGAAAACTCATCACTGAAGACCTGTTTGGAAGGGAGGGTGGCAAAGTAAAAGCATCCCGTGAGAGGCGAAGCGCTGAGATTTGGTCAGCTCTCACATCTCCTCTAACACATGGCTCTCCGGCACAAAAAAGCTGGATAGGGACTTTTTACAAGGGCATGTAGTGATAGGACAAGGAGGAATGGCTTTAAACTGACAGAGGGGAGATTTAAATTAGATATTAGGAAAAAGTTCTTCACTATGAGGATGGTGAGGCGCTGGCAAGGGCTGGCCATGGAAGTTGTGGCTGCCCCATCCCTGTCACTGTTCAAGGCCAGGTTGGACAGAGCTTCGAGCAACCTGGTCTAGTGGAAGGTGTCCCTGTCCATGGCAGGGGTTTGGAACTGGATGAGCTTTTTAAGGTCCCTTCCAACCCCAACCATTCTACTATTCTGGCTTTTATTAGAGGGTGGTATGGCATTGCTGCTGTTTTGACAAGCTGCCTACTACACAAAAAAGCGAGGGCTGATGAACTACATGGAAACAGGGGTCTTATCATCTGGGACACAACATTTTTTATCTACTCCCCAGGTGCAATGCTGTTATTTTAACTGACCCAATAAAAACTATTAACAGTCACAGCTGCTACAGCATTCAGTGTGTCTGATCTTAAAATCCATTAACAGAAGAAAAATACACAGTTTCTGCAAAGTTTTGGTCATGTTTGAATTCCGTGAAAGTTTGTAGGTGATCAAAATAAGTTAATAAGATGTATTTGGTTCTCACCAATTGCTGAGTTTATTTTGGGATTGTTCTCCCTTCAGAGTTAGGTAGTATAATTTCCTGTCCGTTTCCAGTTGCACAACCATTTCCAGTTACACAGCCAATATGATGACAGAGAGTAGTTTAATCGAGTTCCCCATCCAGCTGTTTATCTTTCATGAGCTATGCTGTAGAATATGCTACAGAATTCATCAAGAGGCTGGACATGATGAATGAAAACACCAATTTTTGAAAATCAAAGTTAATTCCTTGTATTCCTATTAAGTTTTAATGCCCTTTCCCACAGGTTTATAAGAGTGAGTAAACTGCTTTGATGTAAGCAGGTGTCAACACTGTCAAAATGTGTTATTGGTATGGATATCGCTCCATCATTTAGGCCTTAAAGGGTGATAGTCATACTTGATTTAACACTACCAAGCTCTAGTAAACACTGAATATTTCTGGAGGCTTGTGCAGAATGTAAAGAACTGAAAGCTGTTTATGTCACCCTAAAATGAACTGAAACAACAAACAGATTGAGGATATTTATTTATTTATTTATTTCCTGAGAAGTGACTATAAGGGGCGCATAATTAAATACGGTGTGTGCTGTGAATGCCTAGTCCCTTTTTCTAGACTTTAGCCCTTTTTTTCAGTTTCAAACACACTACAAGCAGTGATTCAACTACCCTGGTGAACACAGACTTAATATTTTATAAGAATACAGCGCAATACCTGTAATGGTGAATGGAATATCCACTTATTGACAGCTGTTTGGCTACTGAATAGCTAAACACTCAGGATCTGCCTACATCCAGATGAGGAGATTGCATACTTCTGGTAGACGGTGGCCTGAAAGGGAGTTTGAACCTGCATTAATGAACTAAACAAACACTTGCTCAAATCCATTTCAGGATTAAGTCTCTCTATCCTTTCTTTAGCCTTCTGTAAAATGGGTATAAAAATACCAAGCTGGTAGTGTTGCAATGTCTCTAATTTTGCGTTGAAAAGTGTTTTCATGTATGAATTATGTTGTCAGCGTTGCTCCTCCTTGGAGACCAGGCTCTGTTGTTTTTGAGTCTGCTCTTGGTTTTTGATGGATGTTTATGTTTAAAGGCAGTCAATTGAAAAGCTTTGAATAGGGAATCATGGCAGATGGACAGTTGGCAATAGAAAGAAAATTAAGGAAGACAACAAGACATGAAAAGGGAAAGATAAGAATGAAGATACCAATACTTTGGTTAGTTAACTACTACATTCATGACTTGCCACGACCATGAAGGTCATATCTCATATAAAAATCCCCAAACAACTACAGAGTAGATTAAAGCTACTCTTATTAATAAATTCAGGTGAAAGTCAAGAGCAAGATTTTCTGGTGATTCCAATGCTTGTAGATGCACTGGAGTAACAAATCTATT